TGAGGTTAAACTTACATTTAAACACATTTTTCTAGGGCTTGAATATTTTTAAGTGCTTAAACACTGGTGAAAAAAGATTTTTAGAATGATTCTTAGAATGGCCTCATAACTATTTAGTTTTGCTTTTTGATTTAAAACCCCCAAATTAACAGTCTCTTAAAACTAGAATAAAGATGTATACCCATAACAAGTTAGTGTTAATTACACTTACAAAATACAGCAGTTCAGTTTTCTGATAAATCATTTCTATGACCAAAATCTAACATATTACATGCTAACCAATTTGCAGGGTAAACTCTTCTGTTTGCCGCTTTGTTTTCTGCCTCCATGCCTATTTTGCTATGCAAAAGCTTTATGTCAATTTACTTTTTGAGCCGTTTAAGACCAAACCAAATTATTCCTTCAGCACATTTTAAACAATCCCTTAAAGACCTCTTTTTCTTGGCTATGTTTCCAATCTTGGCTTATCACTATAATATTTCATGCTCCATGCTTCTGAAAAAATTCAATATTCAAGAACAAAGTAATCCAGAGCTTTACTTCATTTCAGTCTTTTTATGTCCTAGGGCTGTCCCAACTCAATGACCCAGTTTTTATTGTGTCACATCTCACTGTCTGTTGCTGACTGCGACCAGCTTGCCTAATCCTTTTCCCGTCCCTTATCAGTTTTCCCTTAATTCAAAAATCTTTTTTTTTTTTTTTATTCTTTCCAGTTCTCCTTTCACAGCTTTTAGATTTTTTTTTTTCTTTCTCTTGAGACTCAGTGTTCCTGTGGTAACTACTCAGAAATACAAAGACAAATGGGTAACTAAAGTCCACAAATCTGCCCTTGTCAAAATTTTCATTGTACTATTTTTAGAATTGCGCGTGGTGAATAGTAGAAAGTGGATGTTATAATTTGGCAATATGCCCTTAAAAATGTCCATACTCTAGGACCCAGCAATTTCACTTCCAGGAATCTGGCTTATTAATTAAAAGGAATCATCTAAGAGATGGAAAAAGCTATACGCATGAGCTGTTCATTACAATGGTATGTATAAAAGAAAAAGGAAATAACACAAATATCTAATGATAGGAGAGAAGTTAAATAAATTATGGCCCATCTACTTGATGAAATAACACACAATCATTTAAGATGATGATTGTGTCACTATGTAGAAACATGGGTAAATACTTTCAGTGTTTTCAGAAAAGCAGGGTGCACAACTGTAAGTGCTTATGATCACAATTGTGTTTTTAAAAAACTATTTGCAAAGTAAAAACATCAAAGAAACATGACATTTGTGAATAGTTGTTATTTTAAGGTGGTGGAATTATAGATGATTTTTCTTTACTCTCAAAATCTTGTGATCCTAGTCCTTTCAATCTTTTTTTTTTTTTTTTTTTTTTGAGATGGAGTCTCATTCTGTCACCCAGGCTGGAGTACAGTGGCGGGATCTCAGCTCGCTGCAAGCTCCGCCTCCTGAGTTCAGGCCATTCTCCTGCCTCAGCCTCCAGAGCAGCTGGGACTACAGACACCTGCCACCATACCCGGCTAATTTTTTGTATTTTTAGTAGAGACGGCGTTTCACCGTGTTAGCCAGGATGGCCTCAATCTCCTGACCTTGTGATTTGCCCGCCTCGGCCTCCCAAAGTGCTGGGATTACAGGTGTGAGCCACTGCGCCCGACCGAGTTTTTAAAAACTATAATCTTAATTCAAGTAAATGAATCATTAGGTAGGTTATGTCAAATAAAACTTAGATTAGATAGAGCTCTATTTAAGTCTAATAATAATCTAATGGCTGGGTGTGGTGGCTCACACCTGTAATCCCAGCACCTTGGGAGGCTAAGGCGGAATGATTGCTTGAGGCTAGGAGTTCACAACCAGCCTAGGCAACATAGGGAGACCTCAGCTCTACAATTTTTTTTTTTTAGTTAGCGGGGCATGGTGGTCTGTGCCTGTAGTCCTAGCTACTTGGATGGCTGAGGTGAGATCACTTGTGCCTAGGAGTTGGAGGCTGCAGTGAGCTATGATTGTGCCACTGCACTCCAGCCTGGGTGACAGAGCAAGACCCTGTCTCTAAAAGACAACAACAAAATAATAATCTAATAACTGTGGGTGTGGGGGAGATAAGAAAGGCAATATTTCATTTTGTTTACCCTTATAGGTCATCTCTGAAAAGACGAATTAGAAAAAAAACCCTCCTAATATCTGTTTTAAAATACAAAATTATCTTTAAAACACTATAGTAGGTTCTATTCAAGTTTATTTTATTGCCACTGACTTTATCCAGGCCAGCTTGTTCTCATCTAACTTACTTAATCACATTCCTCCTGGTATCTCTGCCTCTGGTCCAACCCTTTCAATCCATTTTTCACATTGTCTTCAAAGAGATCTTTCTGAAACCTAATTCTGTTTGTGATACTCCACTGTTTAAACCGTTCAGGGATTCAGAATAGAGTTCTGAAAAATTAAAGACAGAATATATTCAAAGCTTTACCCAGGCTTCCTAGCACCTTCCAAGCTTCTCTGCCTTATTCTGTACCATTTCTTCTCATGCACCCTTTCCACTAGCCTCAACAAACTAGTTGTAGTAGTTGAAACAGAACTCACAGTCACTATTTTTTGTTTCTTAACACTGAACTTAATATGCTCTCATTCTTTAAATCTCAAGTGTCACTTTCTTTGGGAAGCCTTTCCAGATTCGTCATTCATTTAGATGTCTCTTCTCTGTAATCCTATAGGGCCCCACCACCCTGTGCTATCACTGATTTGCTTATCTGCCTTTACTACCAGACAGTGGACTTCTTGTTTGCATAGACAAGTGGGATTGAGTGTGTATTCATTTAACCTGAATACCGCCTATCCCCCCTCAGACAATGTGGAGCATGGTGAATACTAAATGGTGTTGGTGTAGGGCTAATGTGCTAATCCTGGGATACTAAGTGCTAGGAACACAGAGGGAAGATGCACTGGAAGCCAAGGGCCTGTTACCGGTCAGGTACTTAGCAGGTAGAAACTCATTCAATGCATTTCCCTGATAAAGTTATGCTTTTTTTACTTTGTCTTAAGGTTGTACAAATGTTTTACCTCCCACATCATATCCCTGAGAAGTAGGAGCTTGTCTTGTCTATGAACCTTTGACTATTCCTTATATATACTAGTTATTCAAGTGTATGTTAAAGTAATACATTTTGATGTTTTAAAATAATTTTGATTTAGGTTAGGCTTGGTAGCTCACGCCTGTAATCCCAGCACTTTGGGAGGCCGAGGCAGATGGATCACTTGAGGTCAGGAATTCAAAACCAGCCTGGCCAACATGGTAAAACCCTGTCTCTACTAAAAATACAAAAAAATTAGCCAGGCATGGTGGCAGGTGCCTGTAATCCCAGCTACTCAGGAGGCTGAGGCAGGAGGATCACTTGAACCCAGGAGGCAGAGGTTGCAGTGAGCCAAGATCGTGCCACTGCACTCCAGCCTGGGTGACAGAGGAAAACTCCATCTCAAAAAAAAAGAAGAAGAAATAAATAAAAATAAAATAATTTTGATTTATAGAAAAAATATGTAAAGGACAAAATATTTGTGAAGTTCAACATTTTAAACAAAAATTTTCAGAACGGTGTTGTAAAGAGAGAAGGATAAAATATAAATTAAGGATGGATAAACATATTCAGATAAAATTAAAGACTACCTAACCCCCAAATGTGATGACATGTAAATATCTTCTCTACCTTGATTTTCACATACTTATATAGGGAACCAGGTATACTCCAATAGAAAATATTGGTTCAGCCTGACCCAAAAAGTCATGGTTTTACTGTTCAGATGGAAAACAAACAAATGACTCGGTCATGGTTTCAATTTACTATCTTTTTTTCCCCCACTGTTACTATATCTGCATTTTAAACAATATGTTTATTACAGCAAAATCACTTGAACATTTTGATAAATCAATTTTCTCAAATTTTTTACAGTTAAAAAATTTTTTTATGATTATGACTGACATTTTGTTATTAATCTCTTAAAGTTTAAATGTACCAGAAGTTCTGCTATTTAAAATAAAACTCTGGAAACAATCTTGAAATAGAAAAGTCTCCATCATCCCCTAATTTATCTGCTTTGTAGATTTAATTTTATTTTATATTTTCTTATAGAATCACCTACCTATACCTACCCAGATACCTACCTAGTCCTATCTGGGAAACAAATGCAAATGAATATGTTTTAGAAAACTATTCAAACAGAATTCTATTTTAAATTCCAAATTATTAAGAGTATAACTAGTGAATACTTTGGCATGAGAAAGATTAACTAGCCACTGCATGGAGGGAGAAATATTTGGCTGAACTTTATATATAATCATAAAAAGCAGAAATAATAAAATTAGCATAGTTTGGTCAGGAAGAATCAAGAATGAGTGGGAAGTAAAGACATTTTTTGAAGTTCAGCAAAACAAGAATGAATAAGGCAAAACCTGGGGATCCAAAGTATGAATTGTAGAAAAAGAAACTTGAAAAGAGCAATGTTTAATGCAGCTACAACTGTCTCTCAGTGAAATACATTATGAAGGCCCATTTCCCTATAGAAAAAAAGAAAACCTGTAATGAACGTATCATATCCTTTAAGACAGTCCAACAGTCACTTAAATATAATGTTCGGATAATCCAAGCAACTTTGTTCTTAACCAAATCTCCTAAAATAGATTTCTCCTATTAGCAAGGGAGCATGCTCATTCAGGATCATGAGTATAGTCCCTTTGGCCATCTTAGCTCTCATATGTATTAAGAGGTGCTCTGGTTTCCAAATCAAGCCTCATGTGAATTTAATGGGTATGAAGCAGTTCTTTGGTGACCGATAACCTAGTAGATGAGATCACAAGTGCTAATTTAAAACGCCTACTACAGTGCCCACTACATAGAAAGCTCTCTAGGATTTGTTTTCCTTCCTTCCCTTGCAACTCTGTAATAAAAAACACAAATCTATAGCCCAAAAGAATTGCACAAGACAAGGATGATCTGTTGTTGATACCTTAAATATTTAATAATTTATTGTAAAAGCATTTTGTATACCACTATAACAAATACTGAATATGGTTTTATGAAAGTTATAATTTTATAACAAAAATATTTCCTAAATACCAAGGCAATCCACCTGTTTTCTTCTTAATCTCAGTATAACAGCTAATATTAGGGTTAGAATTTAACCCTAGCAGACATGAAAATTTGGTCTCTTGGTTTATTTTTTATTTATTTATTTTTTTGAGACAGAGTCTCGCTCTGCTGCCCAGGCTAGAGTGCAGTGGCTTGGCTCACTGCAAGCTCCGCCTCCCGGGTTCACGCCATTCTCCTGCCTTAGCCTCCCAAGTAGCTGGGACTACAGGTGCCCGCCACCACACCTGGCTAATTTTTTTTTTTGTATTTTTAGTAGAGACGGGGTTTCACCGTGTTAGCCAGGATGGTCTCGATCTCCTGACCTCGTGATCCACCCGCCTTGGCCTCCCAAAGTGCTGGGATTACAGGTGTGAGTCACTGCGCCTGGCGGGTCTCTTGGTTTATAGATATAGTCAGATACATAGGAACATTGACTGGCATTTCCATGTCAAGAAACATGGTCATATGTACAGCCAAGACACAGACAACCAACAAGTTTTAAAGAAATGTGCACATCTCTAGTTACAGATTCTAACCAGAATTACTACAGGAGAGCTGGCAAATGACAACCACCAATACATACATTTCTACACTCCTGAAAAAGACAACATCAAAAAACATTAAGAAATTCGGCATCAGGTGGACAACATCTAGGTTTTGGGGCTAATATACTGATTCATACATTGTACAAAGTTTCATCATTGCCCCCCAACCTTGGAATTTCAGAGTGTGAGTGTATACAAAACAATTGCTTTGTCCCTTTTCTCATATTAGAGCTCTGATATTTTCCTAACTCTTACAGTCTTCTAGAATGATCTGTCAGATTTTCACTCAACACTGGGTCAGATCTCTTCTATACATGACCTCATCCTTCTCATGTCTCCTCTGTTTGCAGAGAGCCGGTCAAAGTCTTGGAGGTGGAAACGAACTGCCAACTGATTAACCATTTTCCTTAAGGTAAGAAATGCTGCAACAACTTGGAAAGCCAGGAAGAGAGTGAAGATGATATGTATCGCTTTTTCCAAGGGCAAATTTGTTAGGCCTTCATTAAAGAGCAAGAAAAGAATTAAAGGTAACTGCAATAGAAGGCTCAAAAGCCAAAAGCCAGCCAACTCAGGAACCTGCAATGACACATATCAAGAGTAATAAAAATCAGTAAAATATAGTTTTTGTTTATACAGATAAGTACTTATCACTACTGTGAACCTACATTATGGGCTCTGTGAGTGATTCCGAAGGAGGATGACATGGTCCTTGTCCTCAGAGAACTTAGTCTAGATGAGAAAACTAATTTATGTAAAACAATCCTAGAATACTATACTTTAGTGAACAATTAAGGGCAATATTTAGAAGTACAGACTAAATGCTACAAGAAATAAGTGATTAGGGTAGGTGAAAGAAAGACCTCAGGGATGTAGGCTTTTAAAGTTGTGGAGGAGGAAGAGGCAAAAAGCAAACACGTGAAACTAGCATGATTGGGAATCAGCACGTCAGCCTGGAATGAATGGCTGAGTGAGAAAACAGCAAAACCTACAGTAAGACAGGCTGGGTGGGGCCTTATTATGAAGGGCCTAGAAAACCACAGGAATCTTTAGGCATTATCCCTACACTCTGGTAACCATAAATGCTTAGGTAGCATGATAATGCAGAAAACATGGGCCTGGCGTAGGAAACGAATTCATAATTTTCCCCCATTTTCTTATTCAGGATCCAAATACACATGTTTAAGTAACCATGTATTTTCAAGATTGATGAGAAGAGGGAAAATATCAATTTTAAGTGTTTACCACATTCATATGCTTTACATAAATCATTTCACTTAATCACAACAAACCTGTGAAGTAAATATTATTTTCCTCATTTTATATATGAGGAAACCAGGGCTCAAGAGATTAAGCAAACAGACCACAGTGACAGAAGTGGTAAAGCTGGAGTCAGGCTTTAAATTCAGGCCTGTGCTCTTTCTGCCACACCTCACTGCCTTTTACTTGTTATGAAAACTGATTTCATTTATATCTATCACTGAGAGAAAGGAAAAAAGAGCTTACCTTTTCCTGTAGGTTACCCATGTAGCCCAGATACAACCGGATGGCTTCAATTAAGGTTATTAGGATGATAACAGTGATCACAATGAATTTGTAGTAATCAGGCAAGATTGAATACTAAAAGAAAGGCCAAAACATGTTTGTAAAATCACACGTATAGTAACACTGATTTGAGATAGAAAAAAATTATTAAGAACTTTAATTTTATTGACACTCTAACAACGTCAGGGCAGCAAAAGTATTAAAGCTTAGATTTACCTTCATGTGAAGCATCATAATGCTGCTCACCCACCACAGTGGGAAATAGTAGGTATTAAAATAAAGTGACATCTGCAATGCCAAACTGGAGACCATTTCATTTTCTACAGAAGGAATAGAAAAGGAATAAATTATGAAACTTGGTCTATGCCCTATATATATATATATATCCTATCCCCTAGAATTAATAACTATAATATTGGCTCAGTAAAACACCAAATTTTAAGCCTATTTATAATCATTGACAGTAAAAGGAATATTCATCCTAATACCAGTTAGGTCAAATATTGGCTATTTGGGGGTATGTTTCATATTTTTCAATTATTTTACCATTTTGCCATTACAGTCTTCTGACTTTTTTGCATATACTACTGGTACAGATTTAATGTAGAATATCAATATAAATCCTATTCAACAGATAATTATCATTGCCTCCTTTGTAGAATTCTATGTAAATAGCATATAAAATTAATGCATAAAATAAATAAAAATGAATCTCTCACATATAAACTAATCTCATACAAAAACGGATTACCAAGATTATATAATTAGACACATCTTTCTTTTCAGCATACCCTAATCTTAGCCATTCTTTAAAGTCCAATTCAGCGTCGTCTTTTCCATCAATACTTCCTTCATCAGTTCCCCCACCCCAGCAGAAATACCTTTCCCTTCAGGTACTTATCACTCTAAACTGTCAATAAGAAGTGCTAGCAAAGAACCACATTCCCCTCCCCGAAAAACAGTCTGGTGTACTGAACCGATCACGGGCTTCAGAGTTCAAGCAAACCCGAGCTCCCCAAACCTCTGTGACCCTGGATGTCAGACTTGATAAAATTATTTAAGTTCTTTGAGCTTCTATTTCTTCATCTGTAAAATAGTGAAATTAAAACTTCCTTACAGGCTGCTTGTGAGAATTAAGAGCCAATATGAATTATTTCTGCCCAGCACTGTGCTGGGCACACTTAGTAGGCACTCAACAAATATTAGTCCCCTTTCCTTCTTCTCTTCTATTTATCTACTTATCTGCAAGCACACACCATGTCCCACCCTAATTTGAGACCCTCATAGAATCTAGCATCTTGCTTTATATGCAGTGAATATCAAATACACATAAGAATGAATTAATGTAAGCATACTGTCATAAGGACATTACTAGTATAGCCATTTGTGATACATGAGTTCCATTTACCTAAGGTTGATTCCATAACACTTTTTGCTTTTATGTAAGACAGAAGGGTCCTAAATTAAGAATTTGATTTTTAAAATTGAACCCTACAAAATACATCCTAAATTTGACTAAATTCTTAAGAGCGGACACATATATTGAAATCAGTTGTTCTACACGTAAGATTTTAAAGGTCCTAAAATAAATGTCTTAAGAACATTATTTTCTCCTTTTCTCCATAGTTGAGTGTTTTTATCTGTCATTTAATAATTTTAAAATATAAGAAACAGTCATGGTCTCTCACAGCAAAATAGTTTCTTTTAGCTCCAAAAATATGCCTGATTATTATGATCTACTTTTGCTTGCAACTGCTTATTAAATTACCACTGATAAATGAATGAATTCTTAAAATCTGTGAAATCTGAAGACAACTCACCAGCCTAGGATCTTTCTGATAGCAACAGCACAATGCTGTGGACATGGTAATTACATAAATTTGTTATTACAGTACAAATAATCAAACCTACTTCTGATCCACAAAGAACAAAATACGGGAAAGAATAATAAATTGGGCAAGCAGAACATTTCAGTACCTTTGAGAAGAAACGGTAGTCAAATTTTGCAAAGAACGGTTTTTATGTTAGAAGTATTGTGTGTTAACATCTTAAAGGTTATGCTATGTCCATATTTCAGCAGATCAAACTTATAATCATGGAAATGAAAATCAAATTAATATGTAAATGAACCTTAAAAGCATAAGATATACATTTACTGAATTTTGCAAAAGTTCAAGTTGAGTTCTATAAATGGAATTTAAATTAAAACATACATATAAATCAGGGATAGGTAAACAACTGGTCAGCTGCCTAAACGTTTTTGTACAGTCAATGAGCTAAAAATGTTTTTTCACCTTTAAATGGTTAAAAAAGTAATATTTTTTTCATACGTGAAATTCGTATGAAATACAAATTTCAATATCCTTAAAGTTTTATTGGAACACAGCCATGCCTATTCAATAACTATTGTCAGTGGCTGCCGTGGAGACCATATGGCCTACAAAGCCTAAAGTACTTACTATCTGGCCCTTTTCAGAAAACGTCTTTTTACCTTGTATTATCAGACGTTAGTGCTCATTAAGCCTCATCCTTGGAACCAGAAACGTGAAACCTAATTTTTTCACATTTTTCTCTGTACATCCTAAATCATAAAGGCCTACATTTGGGGAATAGGCAAGTGATCAAGACGACAAAATGCAGCTTTGGGGACTACCTTTACTTTTCTCTGTCCCTTTTAAAAATTCTGTAAAACCAAGCAGTGGAAAAGATTTATATTTCCCAGCAGACTTGAATGATGGAAACCACACGGGTTTGGTTGACAGTGTGTTGTCTACCATCATGATGTAGGAGGAGGAACCTGTTCTGGAGGAAACTGCGTTATCACTTGTCATCAAGTTGAAGGATGCAAAGGCATCATGGTATTTTCTTACCTTATGGTAAGAGTTACATATAGGGGAGGAGGAGAAGAAGGCAGGGAAGGGGTGAGTTTTGTTGAACGTCCGGCTAGTATGGCACATGCCAGTTGGGAGTGGATGGTGGTTTGAAAGGACTCTAAAAAAATTTTTTTTCCCCCCTAATCTTTTCTGCCAGAAAATGGCCTTGCTTAGGAACATACTTGTTCTGCTAGGAAAAGGGAAAAGGCAAATTTGCTCCCTGGGCGGCGGGTGGGGACAGGGGAGGTGGGATTGCTTGGGCTGTTCCTCGCCATCCTGGACAGAAAAGCGGGGCGGGCGCCGCAGAGGAAAAGCAAGTTGGGCCTTCGCTCTCGCGGTGCGCGGGGGACTAGCCTGTGCAGCAAGGGCGGCTTTTATCTTTTTATTTTTGGGGTTTCCCAGGAGCAATGATGGGCCTTGCGTGGCACAGAGGTCGGCCCCACCTCAGCTGCCGGGCTTGCACGGAGCAGGCCCGGCGCTAGCACGCGCAGACCAGGCCCAGCCCGTGGCCGGAGGCCGCCAGCGCCTCAGCTCCCCGCCCCGGCCGGCCCCTCCTCCAAGGCTCTGGCCCGCACTGCGGTGAACTGACTGAAGGCGACATCGCCATTTTAGGTACGGGCAAATTCTGGACGCTCCAAAACCCACGCCAAGCCCTCAGCAGGCCACACCCCCTGCGCCGGCCTCGGTCACTCACCGGGACCCTCACTGTACTCCGGACCGGTCCGATTGGAATCAGTGAACACAGCCCGGCTGAAGTTTCCCAGCCGCTGGCGCACCGGATCCGGCAGCTCCATGCCTGGGCCTCGGTATCCCTCGCCCCCTCAGATACAGGCTAGTCTGCGGGCGTTCGGAGGCTCCGTGGTTCTCATGGCAACCGGCCGGCGAGATCCGGGAGCGCGCGGGGGTGCCCGGCTGGGCCGGGTCTCGTCGGGAGCCCGCGCAACCTTGAAGGGACCGGCGTACTCAGAGCGCGTTCCAGGCGCCGGGAGCCGCGCGCCTCGGCCGTGTCCAAAACGGCAGATCTCTTAGTTCTGCTTTGAGCCCGACCATCCTAAAAACAAACCTACACTAAGAAATGAGCTGGGGTTGGACTGCGATACAAGGAGCCCTCATATCTTGCCAGTGAAACTGTAAATCGGTACAACCTTTCTGGAGGGAAATAGAGAATGAATGCAGAGCTTAAAGAATGTCTAGAGATGTAGGGGTATGTGTGAGAGAGAGATACTATGACTGATTATTTTTTAATAAGAAAATAGAGCAATGGGCAACTGATTAAATGTACTGGAGCATATGCATTCAATGGAGTATGTTTCAGCTGCTTATAAAATGCTTGCAAAGAATATTGAATGATATAGTTTATGTAAAAATAAAGCAGAAATAAAACTAAATGAGAATAAACCTAATTTAGCAAAATTTATGTGTATGAGTGGAGGGGAGGAGAGAGCATGTGCACACTGACTTCAAAAAAAACTGGAAAAAAATATTAACAGTAGTTATCACTGGATAGTGGGATTGTAGGTGATTCAAAAATTTTTAAACACTTCTGTATTTTCTAGCTTTCTCTCTAAGATATATTACTTAAATAAAACTAAGTAATATACATACAGAAAAATTGTATACTATTTGTAAGTAATAAACATATAAAGATATATTACTTAAAAAAACTAAGTGTAATATACATACATAGACAAACTGAAATCTGCATGTCTAGTCAGCACCCTGTTCAAGAAACGTTACAATATTCCCAGAAACTCCCCCTTCCTATTTCCTTTCAGTCACTAAACCCCCTCCTCACTCATAACTGACCTTTCCTGAATTCTAACAGCAAAGGAGAGTTTTGCCTTTTTTTTTTTAAATCGGAACATTTATTGTGTGACTAATCCAAATATATATATATTTTTTATTTGCGACAGAGTCTTGCTCTATCGCCCAGGCTGGAGTGCAATGGCACAATCTCGGCTCACTGCAACCTCCGCCCCCCGGGTTCAAGCGATTCTTCTGCCTCAGCCTACCGAGTAGCTGGGATTACAGGCGCCCGCCACCACACTCGGTTAATTATTGTGTTTTTAGCAGAGACAGGGTTTCGCCACGTTTGCCAGGCTGGTCTTGAACTCCTGCTGCAACAGCTGTCCTCTTGGGTTTAGGTGGCGTTCCTTCAGAAAAGCCATGTCTTAACCTGCTGTACACAACTTTTAGGTGCCTCATTCGACCAGTCTCGTTGGTATTTTGTTTTTTAGCCTCAGCACTCCAATTATACTTTGTCTTGGCTTGGGAGCCGAGCCGCATTTGCCACAGGCAAACTTTTGAAGGAGGTAGATCTTAGAGTCACAAGGCAGCACTAGCTGTGCATCTTATTGCACCACTTTCTAGATGTGACACTCCCTTTGTCATCTTGCTTCTCAGTTTTGCATATTTATATAAAAGCCATGGTACTGTAAATACTTTTTAAAAATAAAAAACTGGCTTTGTCTTCAACATTACTTTCATGAAATTCCTTCATATCATTGAGTGTAGATTCTTTTGCCTTGCTCTGTGTGATCATACCACAATAAGCTTACTCATTCTACTGTTGATGAGTGTCTGTATTTTCTAGTTTGCAGCTGTTATGAATAGTGCTGCTTTGGTGAAAAGATGCCTCTTGGTGAACATATGCATGCATTTTTGTTGAGTGTGTATCGAGAGTGGAATTGCCATGTCATAGGATACGAAAGACCCAGCTTTAGTAGAGGCTGCCAACAGTTCTCCAAAGTGATCGAACCAATTCCTGCTGCCTCCAGCAATGTATGAATATTTCCATTACTCCATATGCTTCACCAACACTTGTTATTTGTTATCCTTTCCTTTTAGCCCTTCTGATGGGTGTGTGGTAAAAGTATTATTTTTACAATCAAAAGGAAAATCACACATTTATATAAATGCAAGAAGAAGATATGGGTGGAAATAAATTCATGACTAGAATTTTAAAATAATTACACAAACGTTTATTGCATTCCTAGTGTGTTTTTGGGTATTGTGCTAGGCTAATTAGGGATATGGTCCCTCTTCATCAAGAAGCACAGCTCAGTGAAAGAGTGAGAGGTATGGAAAGAAGTAAGTGCAAACACTGTTATTATGAGTGCTCTATTAAAGGACCACTGATGAAGAACCAATTATTTCGGGTTGAAGATGTCAGCGAAAAGCTGGTTAACTCCTGCTTCATTTCAAGATGGAGCTCAGACCTGAGAATCTCCAAAAAGGCTTCTAGGACCTTCCTGAAGTAGCTTAGGTGCTCTCTTCCGTGTTTCCCAAAGTATCTTCCTGTTGTTTCTTTGGTCACAGTGCTGGTCACTCTATACCAAAATTGTCTGTTTATGTGTCTGTGTCTCTTGCTAGTCCTTAAACTCTTAGAGGTCAAGAATGGACTTTCATCTTTATATCCCCAACACTAGCGCAGTGTGGTACCTGGCCAAGAGTAGGAGCTGGATGACCGTTGAGTGAGTAAAATGAAGAAAAAGCCTAATAACCACTCTCTTGTCTTCCCTTTCTAGTTCAAGGACTTAGCCAGCCTTGTATAAGGTTCACTTTGTAGAATGGTGAATTGGTGTATTAAAACATAGTGAATTTATAACAATTTAAAAAACCTTAGCAACAGAGAATCACTTCTCATCTATCAAATGAACCGAGGTTTTTTTAATAAAGGGAACAGTGAAGCAGGAGGCCTCAGGCTCAGCTGATTGAATTATAATTTGGCCAACTGCATTGAAACAAGCAATTGGCAATATATAGAAATAGCCTTTAGGCTGGGCGTGATGGCTCACGCCTGTAATCCCAGCACTTTGGGAGGCTGAGGCGGGCAGATCACCAGGTCAGGAGATCGAGACCATCCTGGCTAACATGGTGAAACCCCGTCTCTACTAAAAATACAAAAAATTAGCTGGGTGTGGTGGTGGGCGCCTGTAGTCCCAGCTACTTGGGAGGCTGAGGCAGGAGAATGGCAGGAGGAGGAGCTTGCAGTGAGCCGAGATCGTACCACTGCACTCCAGCCTGGGCCACAGAGTGAGAATCAGTCTCAAAAAAAAAAAAAAAAAAAAGAGCCTTTAAAACATTCCTGCCTCCTTTAATACAATAATTTAAATCTTAAGACTCTGGGGAAAATAATCATAGAAACAAAGTTTTATACACCAAATGCTTCTCCAACATTATTGATAATTGTTTAGAAAAGAGAGAGGTGAGTGGGCATTTGAAGTGCCCAACCACAGGGCCTGGTTAAGCAGATTATGATATTTATGGCAAGGTGTTTGGCTGCAGTAGAGAGAATGTCCTTGGAAGCTGAGAGGACAGGGTTCAAATACCCTAAAATTCCCAATGTACCATTTAAGAGCTATGTGACTGATTTCAGATACTTGTTTTGTAAAGTAAGAATAATAATATCTTACTGTTGTGGTTGATGTGAATATTATATCATTAAGGCTCTCTATACATGATAGTTACCATTTACACATCAATTAAAGTGAAGTTTATGAAGAAGCAACACCTAGAGTGGAGTCAAATAATGCTGGTATTTAATTTTGTGAATTCTACTGGACCTGCTAGGTAATACCTCTATTGCTTTCCTAATAAAGACAGTAGAGGCAATTAAGCATTAAAGCAGTCCATTATGTTAACCAAAAACCTATGTGAATTCTTATCAAAACCCTAAGTGAATTATTTTAAATATATTTTCCCCCAACATTGAGAAAAGATGTAAGATACCTTCTTCAGATTGTAATTATTTTATCAAAATCCTGGAGGAAAAAAAAATTGATAGAATTATGGGTATTTTTCCTTCTAATTTTATTATTCAAATTTCCTATATGAGCATACATTTTCTAGTTTGAAAAAAATCTTGTTAAAAATAAATTGAGAGGAAGAGGCAATGATGATGCAAAAACATTAGAGAAGATAATTTGAGAGGAAAAAAATGTGGTTTGGAATGAGTCCTACCATTATTGATGTATCATAAATGGTCCAAGGGGCTCAAAAAAACTTTCCAAATGTTACCTTTATTAGTTGATGCTCCCAATATTTATAGGCAATTACATTAGAAATACTAAGGGAGATCCTTCAGTGTTTCACTAATGTGATTGGCTATACAGGAAGGGATCGACATTCATGAACAATGAAGACTAGTATGATTTGGGTTTCCCATCTTCTAGATGTACTACTTATTAGGATCTAAAGAAAGAAGTATGGGCTGGGCACAGTGGCTCACACCTGCAATCCCAACACTTTGGGAGGCAAGGTGGGCTGATCACAAGGTCAGGAGTTCAAGACCAACCTGGCCAATATGGTGAAACCCCGTGTATACTAAAAATACAAAAATTAGCCGGGTGTGGTGATGGGCCCCTGTAGTCCCAGCTACTCGAGAGGCTGAGGCAGGAGAATCGCTTGAACCCGGGAGGCAGAGGTTGCAGTGAGCTGAGATTGTACCACTGTACTTCAGCCTGGGCGACAGAGTGAGGCTTCATCTCAAGAAAAAAAAAAAAAAAAAGTATGGAATCTCTGTACTTAAAGTCACAGGAATCATTTTAGGTTAATGCATAGTCCCATAAAGTTTAAACTGCTTAGTTCTTATACCAGTGTTGATGTTCAGAGTAATAGCTGTTTCTACAATAGTTGTTTAATGTATTTCTTGGGGTTTAATTACATTTATCATTTGCTTATTTGTTTTCACAAACATTTTGAGACTGATGCAATGATTAGCTTCCCTTTGATAAGGGACCATGTTGTCTGGTAATAATGTATTATCTTACATGACAAGAAACTGATTTGGGGGAGTTATTTATTTATTTATTGAGGTAGGGTCTCACTCTGTTACCCAGGCTGGAGTGCAGTGGTGCAAGTATAGCTCGCTGTAGCCTCAAACTCCTGAGCTCAAGTGATCCACCCACTTCAGTCTCTCTAATAGCTGGGACTACCGGCGTATGCCACCACGTCCAGCTAATTTTTTTTTTAAATTTTGTAGTGACAGGGTCTCCCTATGTTGCCTAGGCTGATCCTCCCACCTCAGCCACTCAAAGTGCCAAGATTATAGGCATGAGCCACCACACCTGACCTGACTTATTTAAATTTCTCCTAGGCATAACAAAAATTCTTTCCACTTGATACTAATAAAGAGTTTAGAAATATTTTTAAGTAAATAT